GGGGGGTTTTGGGGTGGGGGGGGGTCTCAGGCGTTGCCCCCCCCCAGGTGGAGGAGGCCGATGATTGGCTGCGCTACGGGAACCCCTGGGAGAAGGCACGGCCCGAGTACACGATCCCCGTGCGCTTCTACGGGCGCGTGGAGCACGGCCCCGAGGGCGCCAGGTGGCTGGACACGCAGGTGAGGGACACGGGTGGGACACAGGTGGGACACAGTGACACTTACAGGTGTGCGAGGGGCTGGACACGCAGGTGAGGGACACGGCTGGGACACAGGTGGGACACAGGTGACACTTACAGGTGTGCGAGGGGCTGGACACGCAGGTGAGGGACACGGCTGGGACACAGGTGTGACACAGGTGGGACACAGGTGTGACACAGTGACACTTACAGGTGTGCGAGGGGCTGGACACGCAGGTGAGGGACACGGCTGGGACACAGGTGTGACACAGGTGGGACACAGGTGTGACACAGTGACACTTACAGGTGTGCGAGGGGCTGGACACGCAGGTGAGGGACACGGCTGGGACACAGGTGTCACACATACACAGATGTCACACACAGGTGTCACACACACAGATGTCACACACAAGTGTGACACACACAGATGTCACACACACAAGTGTCACACACAGGTGTCACACACACAGGTGTCACACACACAGAGGTGTTACACACAGGTGTCACACAGGTGTCACACACACAGATGTCACACACACACACAGGTGTCACACACACACACAGGTGTCACACACACACACACAGGTGTCACACACACACACAGGTGTCACACACAGTTGTCACACAGGCGTCACACAGGTGTCACACACACGGGTGTCACACACAGGTGTCATACAGGTGTCACACACACGGGTGTCACACACACGGGTGTCACACCCTGCCCACACCTGCGCACAGGTGAGGCTGTGCCGAGGTGCAGGGGGGGCTCTGTGTGCCGGGGGTCCCTGGCACACGCGTGTGTCCCCCGCAGGTGGTGCTGGCCCTGCCCTATGACACGCCTGTCCCCGGCTACCGCAACAACACGGTGAACACGCTGCGCCTGTGGTCGGCCCGCGCGCCCAACGACTTCAACCTCAAGGACTGTGAGTGCCCCGAGCCCAAACCCACCCCAAATCCACCCCTGAACCCCCAAATCGAATATTTCGTGGTGGCCGCCACGCTCCACGACATCGTCCGGCGCTTCAAATCCGCCAAATTCGGCAGCCGCGACCCCGTGCGGAAATCCTTCGAGAGCTTCCCCGACAAGGTGAACCCCGAAACCCCCCGGGGGGGCCCCCCAAAGCCCCTCTCCCACCCCGCTGACCCCTCCCCGGCCGCGCAGGTGGCGATCCAGCTGAACGACACCCACCCCTCGCTGGCCATCCCGGAGCTGATGCGGATCCTGGTGGACGAGGAGCGCCTGGGGTGGGACCAGGTGGGTCTGGGGGGGCACGTCAGGACCCCCCAAACCCCGGCGGGGGTCCCCAAACCCCCCCAGAGGGGTCCCCAAACCCAGCTGGCTCAGTTGGTAGAACTGAATCTCAGGGTGGTGGCGTCGTGCCCCGCGTTGGGCGCCACATGTTGGTGTTCGTTTGGGGGTCCCCGGGGAGCCCTCGGGGGTCCCCCAAACTCTGAATTCGCTGGAAGCAGCCGGCAGGCGAGGAGGCTCCACACGGCTAATGAGGGTGTTAATTAGCTGAGGGTTTATTGGGGGTCCCACCCCCGGGAGCAGGGGGACCTGGAGCGGCTGCGGCGGATGTCGCTGGTGGAGGAGGGCGCGGTCAAGCGCATCAACATGGCGCACCTGTGCATCGTGGGCGCGCACGCCGTCAACGGCGTGGCCGAGATCCACTCCCAGATCCTCAAGGACAGC